CCCCAAAACCCCAAAACCCCAAAACCCCAAAACCCCAAAACCCCTATTTGGGATGGCCAAATTGTAATTTTTACAAAATTAAATGGAAGGTACTCATCTGGAAAATTTGTAGCGAGTTTGAAGTTTGCATGGATTTTATCAATCAAAGTATTGCAGCTAGGATAGTCATTATCATTAGGATGACTCTGAGGATAGTGCTGATAAAGATTTGACTGTTGTGAACTTTTCTCACACAAAAACTAGTAGATTCTGGACATCAGCAATAGATTTTCAGAAATAGTTTGATAATTTCTTAATAATTACCTTAATTGTATAGAAATCATGGAAAATGAAAACCAACAGGAGATTCTTGCTGATGCCCAAAAGGGGAATACTAAGGTCCAAGTAGGGTAAGCAATAGCTTTGTGTTTAATGAGAAATCTTCATATATTGCTCCTTCCTGTTATATTTGAAAATAACCTCTGTTTTATAGGATGATAGAGTCTAACAAGGAGCAGGCTATTATTGGAACCCCAGTGAGGAAGGAAAGCCTTCCTGATCTTCTATTCAAAGAAGAAAAGCTTCTTCCTGAAGAGAGAGTCTTTATCAATGTTTACATGACTCACTTTTTACTGATGTATAGAGATGGAGATACTGAGTCACCGATCGAGCTTCCTCCTGGCATCCCTCACACTACTAGAATGATGCTTCATTACATTGCAGACACTCTTGAGCTCGGTTCCTTTGCTAGAGGTAGCAAGAAGGGTAACTTAATATTTGTTCATCGATTATAGGTGGGAAGAGAAGACTGCTTATCGGCCCAACGAGTCTTGCAAAAGAGAGATTTGAAAAAGCAAAAAAAGGAAGAGACACACTTATCTGGAGTGCTATCAAACGCAATAAGTTAAACTCTTGCGAACCTCTAGAAGCCATCATCCAACGGGAATCTCATGAAATCGCTGAAGAGCAGGAGAAAAACGCCTCAAATGGGTTGAACTTTCAGCAATCTTGGGCAAAGCTCTGAGAAGGTAAGACTCAAGAGGGTGCTTCTGAAGAGAACAAAGATGTTCAGAGTCTTCAAGATGGTAAGGACTGGAGTCTTTCAACTGATGATTTCAATATTTACATAAGTGGAGAGAACAAAGATGTGATCAACAGAGATGCCTTTGACGACACTGACCAAACACATTATGATGAAGACCCGGTTGACGAGGAAATGGAATCTGAAGAATCATCATTTGATGATCAATTTGAGGAACAAAAGACTAATAATATCGAAAACAAAGGGATCGAAAATATCACTTTAGAGAATTTTCAAGCGAGGCCTGACAAAATAATCGAACTTTGGGCAGCTAAAGTAACAGACCAATCTGCTGAAATTGCTTGGGAAATCCCTGACTGTAATAACTCTGAGATTACAGAATACACAATCAAGACTAAGGAGGTAAACACTGCTGTTAATATTTAGCTCAGCAAGGATACCAGGTCGCTTACTTTTCAATCAGTGCATCGAGCAATTGATAATTCTGTAACCATAGAGGATCTTTTACCAGAGACTTGGTATCTTATTGATATCAGAGCTGTAAATGAGTATGGATACTGCCCAACCAGTTCAAAAATGTTAGCTGTGAGAACCCTTCCTCTGGAGAAAGGAAGTCTTTATGCATGGGGTAGCAACAAAAATGATGAGCTGGGTCTTAGCGAAGAAGATACGAAAAGTCCATATTTTAACAAAGCTAAGTCCGTTGCAATGGGACCGATTTGAGTAAATGCCTTTAAAAACTTTGCAACTGATGTGTCATCATCAGATGCAATCACTCTCACAACTATCTCAAGCCCGACTCCGCTCAATCTGATTCAAGCTGGTGTGACCTTTGATTTGGAAGACGATGAGCCGACTATTGTGCATTCTAAAGAGGAAGCTTTTAGACAAATATTCTCTTTGCCCTTCTGCCAACCTATTAAGATCTCTAAAGATATTTTTGAACAAGTTGTGAAAGTAGAATGAGGAATGAACTTTGCAGTTGCTCTTACAACTAGTGGAAAAGTCTATTCTTGGGGAATCTCTGGGTCTGGTCAGCTTGGCCAAGAGAATAACCCAGAGAAGGACTCGAATAACTCCTCTGAGATAACAGCAGTCAGAAGGCCTCTTATGATAAAGGATCTTAACTGGGATGATGACTTTGTAATGGATGTTGCGGTGGGATTCACCCATTGCATTGCTCTTACATATAAGAGAAGGGTGTTCATCTGGGGTGAGAGCTGTGACTTCCCTCATCATAAGATTTCAGATGTATCTCACGATCTTTACACAAGCTCAGCCCTCTACCCTCGAGAGATCAAGACTATGATTGCAGATTATGAGCCGATGCAAGTCTTTGCAGGAACTCTTTTTAGTGGAATCCTTACTACAGACGGAAAGTTGCTGACCTTTGGCATCGGAAACTCAGGCCAGCTTGGCCATTTGGATAAGGCAGATTCTGATGGCAAAGAATTCGGGTTTCTTTATATTCCGAAGAGAGTAGATGCACTCGATGACTACTTCATCGAGAACGTCTCTTTTGGTGGTTGTCATGTGCTTGTCACAGCTAGGAAGAAACTAATGATTAATGAAACTGATTTCAAAATCGAAGGGCCTTGTCAGACTTTTGCATGGGGCTCGAATGTTCAAGGCCAATGTGCTTGTGGAGCAGACCAACAGATTTCTCTTCCAAAGAAATTAGATGTGTTTGACAGCAAAGAGGTAAGTCTCTGTTTTGCTACTTATTAAAACCTTGTTTAGGTCCTCCAAATCTCAGCAGGCATCGACCACTCCTTGTTCCTGGTCCAAGAGGAGGATGGCTCAACAGCAGTTTATTCATGAGGAAATGCAGTAGATGGGGCTTGTGGAGTGAGCAAATCTCTAACAGGAAAATTTTCCTCTCCAAAACATATCAAAACTCTTGACAAGAAGAGAAAGCTCACTGTAAAGAAAGGATTAGGAAAGGTGATCAAGATCAAGGCTGGCTCCAAAACCTCCTTTGCTATTATTGAGTCTGAGTAGTCTCTTATATTAACTTTTTATCGTAATTTTGCTTCTAAGCAGCTTGAAAATTGGAGAACTTTAGTGGATTTTCAGTAAATTTTCCTTAAAATGGGGTTTTGGGGTTTTGGGGTTTTGGGG